GATAATATTGTTGGAAACGCAGCTGCGGGGTAAACAATTGACGATGTTCCGATGACGAGGGCCACGTTGCACTGTGATATAACGACATCTGAAGACAAAATGATAATGACAAAAGTGATATTTAACACTTCTTTAAATACCTAATACCTAAACAGGTGAATACCTATTTTCATTTTGATCTACATACGTCCAGCAAATTTAATAAATCAAGCATTTTAATCGTTGTGTAATAAATAATTGCACAGCGCTCTGGTAGAATAAAGGATTACATTTTATATTTACCAAATTTCTCAAAAAGTCGAAAATCGATGGTTTCACCAAACCAGACAACATGCGGTCGTAATAAGCCGCCACAATCAGGCTTTTTGCAATGTGGAAGATCTTTTTCTCTGATGTCAGATGTCAGCTTATCACATTTCGGAGAACCGGTACCAGCTAGTGCCTAAGCATTTAATAAGTCAGTGTAGACTAGATACCATTAAATAATTACCTAGCTGAAAATAAAGATGAGGTACATTTCATACCTAACAGCTAAATAACCTACTGGACAAATAGGACTGTCGGTGTTCTCCAGAACCTCATTACATTTAGTACAGCGTGTTTTGAAGATATTTCCATGAAGCTCTATTAAATTCTTGGTACCAGCTTGAGTGTGTAAGCCATCCACGTTTTGGGTAATAACGGTGACTAATTTGTCGTGTGCATGCCTTTTTTCGTACTCGGCTACTGCTATATGACCCTAAAAGAAGAAAGAAGATAATCGTAGGTCTTAGATCATAGTAGGTACATAATTTTTTCGACAGATTTCTATGTTACTGCTACTAATTCGGAGTTATTTCCATCATTTGGAATTGGACAAAACACTGACTTTCCCTTAAGTTCTTTTTTCCATCAATACTTAAATTATAAAATTTCTTATCTACCACTTACATACTTCTTAAGCACTTCTAATCTATCATAACTATTGTATTTCTACGCACCGCATTTGGTTTTGCCCTCAAAACCAGTTCCCGTCTATAGTGATAGAATTCCCAAACTAAACCAGGATCATCCCTAAAAGATGCAGGGTTTGCCAGCATGGAAGGATCCAATTTCCTCCACAATCCGTCCGGGCCTCTAAATGTTGGGACACCTGACTCCGCGCTAATGCCAGCTCCAGACAACACAACCACTTGTTTCGCCGCTTTCAAGAGGTGTTTAAATTTCGCTAACTCGTCTTGCTTTATTGAATAGAATAAGTAGTTCAAAGTTTTTCTATGGCTGGAAATTGAGTTTTTTGTGAAGTTCATTGCCTAAGAGCTGAGGAGACAAGAAAATTATTTGCCTCGTAAATTCGTTGTACAAATATAATCCCGTGTTGTTATGAAACTACATGTGTGATTACCAATATTGTAAACAAATCAACTTCCAAAAAATGACAAGTACCTCAATGATTAGTAGGTCTGTGTGGCCCAAAGAGTATAATAAGTATAGGTGTGGCCCCTATACTTAATAAACTCTTTGGTCGTCTGTGTCAATGATAGGTATAGACACATAGACAGTCAAAATCATAGACACATCAAAAAGTTAAGAACGAGGTTTACTAAATAGGTAAGTACCTAACTAATAGGTAAGTAACTTTTTATTTTTTACGTAATTTTTATAATATTTGATCAAGTGGTCGTCGTGCCACTGGCCACTGTCGATCAAAAGTAAGGTTTTTAATTTTTATAAAATCTTCGAGAATAAAACCATTATCAAAGAATTTTGTAATGTATGTACACACCTTTCACATTTATTTCTAGAGAAAAAAGTGAGACTGCCTCGTTGGGCGAGTGGTCGCAAGTACGACTGCCGGACAAGGGGTCTCGGGTTCGATTCCCGGGTCGGGCAAAGTACTACTGAGTTTTTATAAATTCTCAGTAGTAGCACGGAGTCTGGAATTTGTACCCGGTATATGACAATAGGCTCACCCCGTATTACATGGGACTCATAACATATCATAATAGTGAAAAGTGGGTGTTACATTGTACAGTGGCGTAATTTACACCACTGCCTACCCCTTCGGGGATAAAAGGCGTGATGTTATGTTATCTTAAGTAAGTAAGCTACCCAGTGTTTTCTAAAAATAGCCTGGCCTATTTATATCTTGACCTTCAGATTTTATTGGCACATTTTACTTTAAGTACAATAATGTAATTCCTCCCTAGTATATTTACCTAGAGATATTGTGCACAGCTGTACATTCGAAATTCTTCAGCTACCTATATTGAGAGAACTTAAGTGATTCTTATGTCCAAATTATTTTTGTACCTATGTCAAATGATAAATTATTTGGTATGTAGATAATTACATTCTATGGCTACTCTGACAAACCTGAATCTACTCTGTGAAGCGAGGAGATTAGTGCAAACCCCTCCCCTCCTATATATAGAAATACTTTTAGTCCAGTGGTGGACTGACAATAGAGTGTTGATGCCAACTAAGTATATGCACTTACTAAACAGATGTCATTCTCATCTCTTCACAAGTCGTTAAAGTATATTATAGAATGGAATCAACCTAGTTTTTACAATTCCATGGAATCAATCATATCTTTTTTAACTTCCATGTAATTATTTTCGTTTATCATCATCATCATCAACAGCCTGTAACTGCTGATCAAAGGCCTCATCTCGCATCGAGGAGATTGAAGCATTAATCACCACGCTTGCTCAATGCGAGTTGGGGATTTTAATCTTATAATTAGAAATTAGTTCCAGGTTTCTTCACCATGTTTTCCTTCATCTTTTGTCAATGGTGTCTAAATACTCTTAATACATATGTACATACAACTCGCAACTCGCCGGAAAAGTCACACTGGTACTTGCCGTTGGTAAGTTTCGATACCGAAACCTCGTCTTAAACCTCCAACCACCACGACTTAAAAATTATAGTCCTTACTTTGCGTAAATTCATCCCACCTACACGGCAAATATCTAGTTTTAATTTCGCTAAGAATCCGTTTTTTCGTAGCCAATTTCGTAGCGAAATTTAACTATAATTTACTGGTTTGAGATTATCTATTAATTTCTGCCATTACAGACTACAGATAACCTAACCCTTTTTTTAAGGGCGGAAAATCATCGAATGACTGCTCCCAACTAGGTGAGGCGGGAGGGAAAGTGTTCTGACACTGGGTAATTTTTAATCAGTAAGAGTCTGCTCTTATTGACTAAAAACCACCCCGTTCCTTCTCCTGCACGTCGAGTCGGAGCCCCGGTAACCCGTTAGGTTCTCCGCGACAACCTAACCCTTTGGTCGTGTGGTTTCGATTGCTAATGGCATTATTGAGTTTTCAAAGAATTTGTATACTGTTTACAGGTATTTATGGGTAGAAGTAAGCCTAAAAGCTAAGCTTGATGTGTCCGGAATATAGTTAGAGGTCAAAGACCCTCAATAAATAAAGCGGAAAAAACGTAAACAAATTGATCCAAATGAGCTTACGGTGTCTATATCACTCTCCTTTACAATCAGGTGTCCTTTTCAGTTATATAAGTCGATGTGTTTGTAGTTTGTTCTAAACAGGTAAAGTAAAAAAATACACCTTATATTTCTTTTTTAAATGTCGGTATATAACGTGGCCACATATTAATATTGGTTTCTGTGTTGTCGTTGTTACCTATAAGTATAAACATACGTGCAAATTTCACATATCTTTTTTAAGTAATGGGGAAAATCACCCAATGATTTTCCCCATTACTTAAAAAAGGTATGATTCCCCCCCCCCTCAAAAAAAACATTACATCTAAACCAGCAACACGTTGCGCAGCAGCCGGTTGTGCTACTGCGCCTTAAGTCTTCTATAGAGATATAAATAGAAGTAAATAATAAATGAAACACCTATCTTTCATCAGTCATGTCACGAGTCCCACGTAATTAGGGTGATCAATGAGGCTATTGGCATAATCTTAGACACCTTACTATAGACATAATAATATTATCTAAAACCGAGCCTCGAGTATGTATCTCGCGACCAGTAAAAAGAAAACGAGCTGAAAACTGAAATCTATCTAAATCCCCTGCCTAAATAAAAAAAGAACCATTTACTGACTAAAAAATACGTTTCTCCATTAGTTCAAGTGAGAAAGAAGTATAGTTTTAATTGATTTAGTAGGTGGTGGTACCTACATATTACAAAAATATCTTAATTTGTATTCTAAGTTTACGTAATATGTACCTACCTATTAGGTATTATGCACATTAATAAATATAAACAAGTACTATCTAAGTAAATAAGTGAACAAACTTATAAGTTTCTGCTCTACGAAGAACTTTGCTTACTTGGTGAGCACGGTTCGCCACAACCGGGTCTAATAGAGGTAGCTATCCTTTGAGGGGTTATATAATTTACATGTCCGAAGCTATGCAACTAATTTGTTTTGTGGTCATCAAAAATTCTTAATTCAAAAGTGACGAATGTGGGATAAACTTGATGTTTAATGTGTATTCATTCTCGCCTATTTTTTTTAGAAGAGTACCTAGACAGAGGCGGTGTAGTGTGAAGCGCCTATCTATAACATATTCATAACATGTAGAGATGATTTGATATTTATCCACTATTACCTACGCAGTTAAAATAACATTTATGTCATGTTGGCTTTGTTTCATCTGGATCTGTTTTATGGTTCGTAATGTTTAGATATAAAACAGAAAACATCCTACATTAAAAAACTGAAAGCAATATGACCTAATATATCGAATACGATGTCAAATTATATCTTACTCGTATAAAATACGCACCGTGCAACGCGACGTATCTATGTTTGGAAGTGTTTTGGAATACTCCTTCAATTTACCGCAAGTACTCAAACCAAACTGAAGTACAACATAAAAATTGCGGACCAACTTAAAAGCTATTAGTACCACGCGCTCGCGCCAACTGCGGTATATGAAACACCAACCTGTATGCTTTTTGAACGAGACCATTGACGTCATAGGGTCGCACTTCGCACATGCGCCCTGGAAAGCGTCGCCATTATTCTATTCGCGAAAGGGAGTGAGATACTGAATAACACAACGCGGCACGCTGTATTGGCGGGCAGACGTATCACTTCTTCGACTTCAAGACCAATAACGCGGGAACACGACCCCGGTAAGTAACGACGTAGTAATAATTACAGAGATCAAATTATCACGTCATACACTCACTGGTTTTGCTGGAAAGTTTTCTATAACTTTTTTTTTCGCTCCTTGACGAGTTCTGGCTTTATTTTTTTATTTCTACTTTATGAACTTGTCGGGGGTTTGTTTGCGAATAGTTTTAAGCAAAAAGTGTAAGTGGTTAGTTAGGTTTCTGCTTTGTGTCTAGATTTTTTAGATATAGAGCAGATTACAAACTTTTTAAATTTAAATTCTGATACAGTTTATGGCAAGATTTTTGATACATTTAAGATTGGAAACTTTATTTGGCTATTACTTTGATTTGAAAATCGTGTCTATAGGTACATCTGGTTACTTGTTAGTATTTATAAAAAGTCAAAACGTTTGATTATTAACATAACAAATAGAATTATTTTTACCTAAAAAAAATAATTTACGTTCAGAATGGAACATTCTAGAATCTACCCGTATTTTTCACAGTTGAATGACTTTTACAAATTAAAAAATTTTGTCGAACCGTTCCTAAACGATTTCCCGAACTTTTGGGTCTCTTTTGTGCGACATATGAGTTGGTAGTGTAATACCTACAATGAAAAGGGCACCATCCAATATATGGCTACCGAATGAGAGTTGTTGAGCAACAGTTTAACATATTTCAAAGTTTGGAACAAACCGTGGTTTGTATGTTGAATATGTGTGACTATTTGGATCTTTATTTCGCTGAAAAGTAATACCTACGTATTCGATATTTACAAAGCTTTATTATCTATGGATGGAGGCGTCTGTATTATGTACCTATAGACACTTATGTAGATGTACAGCTACATATTGTTTCTATTACCTACTGATATGAATATGATAAGAGTTTATCTAGCGTGCTATTATTATACAAAGAGAAAGCGTAGGAACGGTAACGTAGCTTCAAAGATACATGATACAAGTATGTATTTGGCTAAAATGGTTTTGAAATATTATCTAATGACTCCCATATCCAGTATCATAAATGTTTTAATATTATATGTACACAATAAAAAAGAGTAATGTATATACGCCGGTGTCGACCCTCGACACTCGGTGTTTGCATAATATTGGTCCAAGACACCAATTTCTGTCTTACCAGAAAAAATCTTATAAGGTTAGCTTTTGAAATCAAATATCTGGAAACGTAGTAGTACAAATATTTGTCGTACCGTTATTGGATCTGTGTATTACCAAACATAGATATTTTCTAGGTCAAAATAATAATATTTCTTTTAAGACTGACCAGGAGAGTAGCCCCATAAGTAGTAAATTTTTTATCCCCTCATATTACTACTAGCAGCAAATTCTTCAGTAGACGATTGTTAACATTTTATAACTTGTAAAGTTAATTTCGAGTCGGACGGTACTTTTGTAGTCTCGGGGCGGACTTTTGAAGCTACATAATGTTCGGGACAGCGCAATTACGACACAGAATTTTAGAGGCTGGAATGTCGTTTAGTGGTTGTGGTTTTGTATCTGTTTGCTTACGTACTTACCTATAACAATATATAGCTGGTTCGTAGTTAACTGTTTACCTTACTAAGGAGATATGGACAAAATTTCTAGTTATAGTACCTACCAAACTACTTACCTAACAAATTTAAGCAAATTTTTCTTTATAACAGTTCTAGCTTCGATTTTTGAGTTCCTCAATATCAATAGAAATTCAATGAAATTCTTCTTATTAGGATAGTTAAGTTTGAACAGAAATCCGTTCATACCTTCTTTAAACTATGTAGCCAGTTTTTAGAGCTAAGAGTTTTAGTCTATAGATAAATATTTAAAGTCTTATTGGGCCATGATTGATAGGCATTCTTGAGTATAAGCTCAGTCTGATATTATTAGTTAATAAATTTATTTATGAAAATATTATGTATGTTAGGAAAAACCTACATTTATTTAGTAAAGTGTCTGACAGACACAATTATGAAACTAGACATAAGAATAGATTAAGTCCGCCGTTTTTTAGATTGTCAAAAGTACATAAGTCGTTCATGGGAATAGGTGTTAAATGTTATAACAAAATCCCCCAAGAAATACTGCATCTAAATGAAAGAAAATTTAAACTATGTATTAAAAAAACGTTATGTACACAAGCATACTACAAACTAAATGATTATATAGAGGATAAAGTGCTTGGAGGCAGGCTGGTCCGGCTCCGCAGGATAATACATGAAACACAGTGATGTTCAATGAATTCTATTTGTGTAATAATATAATCATGTTGCTTAAATATTTGTATAGTTTAAAACGTTGCACAATTTATTGTAAATGTGAGAGCCCTGTAATTAACTAAATCAAATTAGACTAGTAGATTGCATTTATGTCAGCTTGGAGTTGTCATGCTCACTCAAAGATCTCGTTGGCGGTGGCACGTGCATTGGATCGCTCGATTCCCTACAAAATGGTTGAGTTGGGCGGTGCTAGGTTTCGCCAAATGTTCGTGAACGGGCACCGTCGATTGGAACTGGTCAGCTCCAGACTGTATCATTTTATTTTATTATCCTCAAGGTTATTTTCTTTTTCAGTCTTTCTGACTGGATTTGGGTGTTGCATTGTTCTCACATAATCGAACCAATAAAACTATGTAACTAGAGAATTGTATTGTAAACCTGATTGAAAAAGAGTAACCTATGGAGTTTCTTGCTCGTTCTTCTCCATAGGAATCTACGCCTTGGAATGAGCAACTAGCTTCACTTATAAATTTTTGTTGTTTGACGTTCAAAAGTGCCATCCTGGTCTAATTGAAATAAATGATTTTGACTTTGACTTTGACTTTGAAAAAAAAATTCAAGGGCCTATACGAATACTCGAGCGAAAGACGACGTTCTAAGCCGAAATTGATATTAACACAATTTTATACATACTACAGTACATTATGAAATCCCATCGACTACCTTATCAAAGGATAATAACTAAAAGCCCTCTTGAATGGTCCATTATCCTTTTATAGAAAGGTATTTTAATCATGCTCGAGATGAGAGAAGGGAAAGAAATTAATCAATGTTTACTCGAGTGTGGTGTGTCTTATGGTAAGCGGAGATTGGTTAGACGGTGCGATGTATTGTGGAACCACCGTTAGTCTGAGAAAAAGAAAAAATATGACGGAATTGTTTTGTCTATGAATATGCTATACGCCTCGGGCGACGAGTGTCTTTGTTGCCTTTTCACAGAAAAGTATCTTAGTATCTTGTTGTCGTTGATGTTTGATAGGAAATAATAATGTTCCTTATTACATTTGTTATTTATTTGATTAGATTCATATTATTGATTTCATTGTTATATTTGTTTGTATCTTTTTTGGCTAGGATGAAATCAGTGCTGTATATTCACGAATAGAAAAGCAGGTCTTGTTATTATTAGAGGTACCTACTATATTATAATACCATAACATCACGCCTTTTATCCTCTATAGTAGGCAAAGGTGTACACAGAAGCAACACCAACTTTCACTATTTATGTTATGAGTCCCATGTAATAGGCCATATGGTGCTACTACTGAGATTTTTTTTCAAAACCCAGTGTTGCTTTGCCCGACCTGGGAATCGAACCCGAGGAGACCCCTTGCCTGGCAGTCGCTCTTGACCACTTGGCCAACGAGGCAGTCTATTATATTATAATATATGTTATTTATGTCTACATCTAGCACTTTCGTATTTACTCTTTGAAGTCTGGCTTAGGTACTTAAGCAAAAGTGCTTGAGAATCATTGATCGGAAAGCCAATTTAGATTCGGATTTAGTTAAATATTCACAGCGATGTCGTCGTATTGTTGCGGATGTAGCACAAAAAGGCTTTTTGTTTAGACGTAAAGTTTCTTGACAAGAATAAATTTCGAATACATTGAGGTCTAAAGTTGTAGAGTTCTTTTCCTCGATTTTTTTCACTTTTCTCTAGGCAAAATTTGGAAACTAATACTTAAGTACTATGAATTTTCCGACGAATCCAGAAGAGAAATATAAAACAAATACGTATATCGTGGAATCTACATAATATGTTTGAATTTTTAGGAAGCAGTAGTTCCTTCTAGTGAATTTATTTTCTGTTTAGAGATCCAATGAAGTCGGCATATTAATATCCGGTAAATTAATAAACACGCTAAAGACGTCGATTTCCTATTCGCTCGATGTTAATTAATTTAGAATCGAAATGTCAATCGCCAGGGCCGGACCCAAGCTAATTAAGAAATTACGGATTAATACCGGATTTAATTTTATCACTAACGGGCAACTTGTTGGCTTTAATGTTTTTCTTAGAATACATTTTGTAGTGTTAAACGAAGGTAGTCGGTAAGACCAGGTTTTTATTTATAAATTCTGTTCCACACTAAGATTTTCTCCTGTGTGTTATGTTAGGTGCTATAAATATAAAAGTTCAGGTAAGTACACAACATACCCACACCGGCACAACGATTTGTGAATCACTAGTCAAAAAGGCAAACTCTAGCTCCGTGTCTTGGATATAGAATTAGGGAACTCTTTTCTGGTATTTGACAAATATATTCGAAAATAAAGTTCATATAAATAAAAAAAACTGGGAGAGCGCACTCAGCCATATAACCAGATATCTCCAAAAGAAAATTACTTACATTTACATCAATGCGTACATGACAGGGAACAATATCTTACGAAGCAACAGGCATAGAAATATTGTTTGATTTTATTTTCCGGGGCTTTTTGCGGCAATTTTATGTATTAACTCGAATGCTTCCCACTCAGTCGACCGATGAACGGTGAAATGGGGCAGATTGGCAATCAATCACTTTCACACGAGTGCTTTCTATGTTATATATTGTATTATACTTTCAAGACTAATATCGGAATCAGGTTAAGTTTGCCGACGTTAAGGTTTAGTGGACAAGCTAGGATCCGAAATTGTGGGAGATTCCGTTACGTCTTTGTGTGATTAACTCGTCGAGTACCGTCAATATAGACACAATTATAGAACAATAGGTTGCGGTCACCGGTGACCG